AACTGAGCCAGCATTGGTGGGGGTAGCTCCAACCCCCCAGGTGATTGCTGCCCTCTGCCACAGGTGTCCACCACATCTATCATAATCACCTCTTGGACCCCAGGCTCTGAAACAAAGCCTGACCTAGAGTAGATGGGAAATACTTGTGGACTGTGGATCCATCTTCCCTGTCCACCTCTATCTTGTACTCCAGATGTCCTGGGCACACAAACACCAAGGCAGGGAGTGAGCACCATGCTAAAGACCTGAGGGAAATCTTTTGTGCTCTGCAGTGCAGACCTTGCTAAATATAGACTCCCAGCTCACACATCCCTCCTTCCTGTGCCCTCAGCAGCAGGAGAGGAAATTTCCAGCTGCTGCTAGATGCTAATTCGTTTTTCTTTGACCCTTGGGTTTCTGAAAGAAAGCAAGAAGAAGGTGATTAGAAGTCAGTTTGCATCTCTGGCTGCAAGTCCCTGCTAGGAAGCGGGCCCTGGAGGAAGCCAGGGTAGAACCAGGCCTTCAGCCAGTGCCTGAGTTGGCTGGAGTAGGCCGGGTCCTTGCTGCTCACAGTGGGTCCCTTGTTCCCACCCTAAGTATTGCTTTTGGCCCAAGAGGTTCTCAACACAAGAGGGATTTTGTGAGGCTCTCAGCCTTGCTGTTTTTACTCTCTGCCTTCCAGGCCTGCTTCCTGTTCCCTCAAAAAATAGCAAGAAGTACAAACAAGGAAGGGTCACAGAATCACTTTGAAAGGACAGTGATGGCATTCAGCTGCCTCCTCTGACCTGTTCCTGTCAGCATGTGAAACACCTTCAGGGGGATGCAGTGATGACAGGAGATAGGAGACTGAGGGCAGCATCTTCAGTGCAAGATCAAGTTGGAAGGAAGGAGGAGAAGACAGGGATTTGGCTCTGCAATGTGTCTACGGAGAGGGATTTGCTCTTTCAGCTTTTAACCTGAGGGTCTCATTGAACATGGACCAGCCAGAGTGGCAGGCCTACCATCCTGGAGTGGGTTAGGGGAATGGGCATTTGTAGGAGGGCCTGTATAAAACCCCACATTAGGACCCAGAACACTGGTTTGGGACTCAAAGCCAGGCCTCCGTGGTGAATTTTGGTTGCTTGACATTGGTCAGGTCAGCTGCTGCTATCCTAAATGTGGGCCCTGCAGCATTGTTTTGTCTTTTGTGTCCGCTCCTACTATTCATTTTAGTATTTCCCCTAGTTGTCCATACTGACTTTTTTCAGGTCAGTATGATCTGATACAGTATCAAGAGTGTAGTTTACCTCATTGGCTTTCCTCTCTGAGCCTTAGAAATGGGGTTAATAATGCACCCTTCACTCCATGAGCCCCTGCCATAAAGGATGCGTGATTGTCAGCCCCAGTATCATTGCTGTTGTGACTGCTAGCTTTTATTACCTGAGAGCTGCAGAATGGCCCTTGGATGTAAGTCCTGAAAGACCTGGATCTGGCCTTCTGGCTGGGAGTGATGAGCAAACTATGCAGTAGTGAGACCTGGTGGGGCGGGGGTTGTGCGGGATAGTTCTTCATGAAGGCCCCAGATCGCAGTAGGTGAAATAGAAATCACACATTGATCATAGCATCTCTGTTCATTTGGGGTCGGTCTATATTTGACAGAAAACTTAGAAAAGGTTTAGCAGATCTGCTTTAAAATGCTTTAAAACAAGGGACATAAATATTTCAAAAATTAAGAATCATTTTCACTTTACCTTGAGAGAAAGAGAGAGACAAAGACATTTGGAGAAAGAGGGTGTCTTGAGATGACAGAGGCGCAGCTGGCCAGAGGTATTGCTTGTGAATGTGAGGAAGAAGCCCAGTGGGGCAGGTGCGGTCGAGTCTGCAATTGCCTCAAAGTCTTCGTCCTGCTGAGAGCTGACCTCAGCCTCTCCACTGCCAAAGTCACCATAAGATGATCTTCCTTATCCATAGCCTGTGAACCGTGATGGTCATTTAGTCTCATTGGTCTCTTGTGAGCATTTCCTTTATTCCTATGACAAAACTTTATTGTGCTTTAGCAAGTTGGATATGTTACTATAGCATCGTCTTTGGAAACTTGTGCTATATGATAACAAGGTGAACAGTGATGTAGTGGCTGTACCTCATGTGCCCATCTTCCGAGTGTTTTATACAGTACCAGTGAGGTAGGTACTAAAGAAGGGGGTAACTTATCCAAGGTCATTCAAATAATGAGTGGCTGAGCAGGTCTACTGTGGCATTTCCACTTCCGGTTCCTTGTCAGGGTGTATAATGCCATTATTAGCTTCCTCTCTGACTCTTTCTTGTTTCCACTCTCCCGGAGTGGTACTAAACAATACTTGACCAGCTTTCTATTGTGCCATGTCTCTTTAAACAACAGCTGAATCTTCTGATCTCAAGATGCCACTGGGATATTGTTTTAAATTCCTTTTCATGTATGAGGATATACATATATACCATTAAAGGAAGTAGACATTGGTCCTCAGTGTTATCAGTCCTGGGTGTCAAGAGGTTTCTGTGTTTTGTGAAATTGCATAGAACTGATTTCTTTAGAATTCCTCTTTTGCTAAGTGCCAAGTTCATCATTGGAAACCTAATTCATTCATTCTTTTCTCCCTCCTTCTTTATTCATTCTTCTTTCTTATGTTCCTCCCATCTGTCCATTCATACGTCTGTCCATCTATCCCTCCATCCATCTGTCCATCTGTCACTGAATACCTGCATGCTAGGTATTAGGGATATGATGGTGAATGAGACAGATATCTGCCTGCCTTCAGGACTGACACCCTTCACACTGCTGTGGGATGGTGTGGAGCTGTCAATAATATTGTAGATGTGTCCACTTCACTTCTTCTGTCATCATCATTGTCATCTATTTTTACCTTTGGAATGACCCCGCTTTATTATCCCAACAAAATCTTAGCATAAACTTAGAATATAAACCAGATGGAAGTGGGGGGAGGGGAAATACTTCAGTTTAAGACAGAGGAGCCCAATTTGGCCAAACTTGAAATCTGCTGCCCTTGGTCTCTGCCTTCATATCTGATGGTGGTTATAGCTATTCCTATCCCACACTAATGTCCCAGCAGTAAAGACAACGAGGATGGATGCTCAGACTCAGGCCCTTAGGCCTCAAACCACAGAAGATATCCTGCGTACCCTTTCTACTCTCCCTAGAGCTCCTTGACTGTGAGCCACTAGAGTGGAACAAGAGAACCGTTTACCAGAGCTTCTTCCAACTTAATCCCTGTGTATTTTACCTTTCCTGGCCCACTTGAGATGCTGCAAACAAAATAACAGCAGAAGTGACCCCTCTACCTCCTAAAAGGGGACAGGAAGAAGGAATATAAACATATGTAGTTAGAGTTGTTTATGCAAATTTTGGTTAACTGGAAGTTATGCAATCATGCTTAATTTTCCTGTGGAGAGGAGGGGAAAGTTTCCATCAGAATGAGACTTGTGGCACTTTTGCCTCTGGCAGATTGGAGTGTGGAGAGTGAAGGCTGGGGTGCCAGCAGCTGCACGAACGCACAGCTGTGTGCATGGTTTTAATCAGCCTCTTTGTTTGGCTTCTCTTTTTCTTCTGTGTCTGTAACAGCCTCAGCGATGCTTGCCCACGTGAGACAATTTTTGCACTGAGCACAGTCCACTCATGGTTCTCATTTGAATTGCTATAAAGTGCTCTGGTCTTTTGGGTGTCCATGTAGAAAAGTGCCTAACCCATAAGATAAAGCAATGCTTGGGTTTAGAGCTCAACTATAAGGTTTTTTGCCTTCCTATGTGATTCCCACCCCACCCCCACTCCCCCGTAATACCTCTACCCTTATGACTTTCTTATTTTGCTTCCTCTCTTCTCTGTCCTCTAGTACTTAGTCCTTTTTTTTTCATGGTACTAGGGTTTGAACTTAGGGTCTTGCGCTTACTAGGTAGGTGCTCTGCCTCTTAAGCCACATTCCCAGCCATTTTTTGCTTTAGTTGTTTTTCATATAGGATCTCAGGGCCAGTCTTGGACCATGATACTCCTATGTGTTCTTCCTGTGTATCTGCGATTACAGGCCTACCACCATACCTGGCTTGTTTGTTAAAATGGGGTCTTGCTACCTTCCCCCCCAGGAAAAGAACTGCAGCCCTCATGATCTCTGCCTCCCTAGTAGCTGGGATTCAAGACATGAAACACCACACCCAGTCTCTAGTACTTTTACTTGTCTCATGTTCAACTCAAAAAAGGCCAAGAATGAGATCTTTAAAAACAAAGTCAATAAATTAATTAAACTGATAAAATATTGATGTGTGGCTGAAATTGTCTAGTGGGTATATTTTATTTGGCATTTTGAACTGAATACCTTTGGACTTTGTGGATGTTTGTCTGCTTGCCACAGTCTGTGCCCCTCTCTGTTGTCTCTCATACTCACTCTTCCTGTGTGTTTACATTACTGGTCTGGTTTTAGAGCCAGAGTAGTCCCTTGTTGAATTCCAAGGCCTTTTCAGTTTTGTTTCCCTGAGAATGTTCTGTGTGCAATTTAGAATTCTAGAGTATTAAAAAAGATGATGCTTTTTTTTGTGTTCATAGTCAAGTAGGAAGGGTTAAGATGCATGAAGGTATAAATATACAACTTATTTATAAAAAGATGTTACAAAAAGTTAAGAGTTGTAACTGGAAATGCTATGTAATGCCAACCAGTAAATCTTTATAATTGACACAGGGATCCAGTAGATTCTATGTGTGACTGTGTGAATTCTGCTTGGGTAGTTGATTCTGGCTCATGAGGCTTTGGCTTGCTCATAGAGTTCTCGGATCTGTAGCTGACTTGAGAATGAGGTCTTTGTGTCCATATTCTCAAGTGTCAACATTGCCTTTACAGTTCTTTCCTTGCTTCTTTCCATGTCACCTCTCTCACCATACTTTGTATCCATAGGATGATTTTAGTTCTTCTCATTTGGGGTTTGCCTGGCTGTTGATGCTATAATTAGAAGATTCTTTTCCTCTCTTTTAATAAAACTCTCTCCCTTTTTCCATTTCTCAGCGGATATCTGGAGTGAACACTCATTTCAGACAGATCCGGATTTGCCGCCTGGCTGGAAAAGAGTCAACGATATTGCTGGGACCTATTATTGGCACATCCCAACAGGAACGACTCAGTGGGAACGGCCCATCTCCATCCCAGAAGATCTTCCTGGTTCTCGAAAAGGGTCACTTAGTTCTGTAACGCCATCTCCCACCCCAGAAAATGAGGTACAGTGTCTTTTTACTGGCTTAGTAGAGTGGATGTAACTTATAATTTCTCATAGACTAGTTGGTTCCATCCCAACAGGTCATCGAGGTAAGTTTTTTGATTGTTTGCATTTGAAATCTCAGAAATGCTTCCTCTTGGTAAGTAGTGTTGATGTCTGTCTTTCAGGGGGGTTTTCACTTTTAATGCCTTTTGGTCTCTTGACATACCATTCTAAGTACAGAAAGTAAGAGGACTGATTAATGAGAAGTGGTTAAGATTCCCTGGAGCTCATGGAGCTATAATTTACCCTGCAGGTACCACTGCATAGCGCTGGCTCAATAAAATATTTACATGTAGAAGAAAGTCTCTTGTCCAAGAGTGTTATAATTACCACACATCTTATTAGTTTTGGGTTCATTTAAGCAGAGGATGTCTGTAGGAATAACCCTTGAGAGCCCTTAAATGCTTAATTTTATCTGGAGTGAACACTCATTTCAGACAGATCCGGATTTGCCGCCTGGCTGGAAAGAGTCAACGATATTGCTGGGACCTATTATTGGCACATCCCAACAGGAACGACTCAGTGGGAACGGCCCATCTCCATCCCAGAAGATCTTCCTGGTTCTCGAAAAGGGTCACTTAGTTCTGTAACGCCATCTCCCACCCCAGAAAATGAGGTAGAGTGTCTTTTTACTGGCTTAGTAGAGTGGATGTAACTTATAATTTCTCATAGACTAGTTGGTTCCATCCCAACAGGTCATCGAGGTAAGTTTTTTGATTGTTTGCATTTGAAATCTCAGAAATGCTTCCTCTTGGTAAGTAGTGTTGATGTCTGTCTTTCAGGGGGGTTTTCACTTTTAATGCCTTTTGGTCTCTTGACATACCATTCTAAGTACAGAAAGTAAGAGGACTGATTAATGAGAAGTGGTTAAGATTCCCTGGAGCTCATGGAGCTATAATTTACCCTGCAGGTACCACTGCATAGCGCTGGCTCAATAAAATATTTACATGTAGAAGAAAGTCTCTTGTCCAAGAGTGTTATAATTACCACACATCTTATTAGTTTTGGGTTCATTTAAGCAGAGGATGTCTGTAGGAATAACCCTTGAGAGCCCTTAAATGCTTAATTTACAGTTTTTTTTAAAAAAGATCTGTTTATTTAGCAGAAGTGACATTATTTTAGAAATAATTAGCAGCATAAATTTCTGTTATCCCTGAGGAAGGAAACTGAGTATTTAAACAAAGATTTGAGGCATTAAAAAATTCCACTGTGGTATCTGCGAATATCAAGATTCCTGCAGTGAGCCCTTGTGAATCCTAATATCAGCAGATTCAAGAGAATTATAGTTGGGAAAGGTGCAATTAAGTGAAGGGTTTTGTTCTGGGGTTTTTTGTTGTTGTTGTTGTTGTTGTTGTTGTTTTAGCACTGTGGTTTCTCTGATACCAGGCATGTCTGCCTTTTCTCCGGGTAGTCTTTTATTCTTTACACAACCCCCTTTTCGTTCACTTTGAGCACATGAAATACATTGATCTTTACCTCTTCCCTGCAGAACTGCTCTGTGTGCAACTGCCATCACCCTTCTTGTCCTGAAAGTAACCAGGCCTTATGCTTAACTCTGATGAGTTACCTGTTCTCTGGGAAGCCGTAAGACATCTGTGCTAAATCCCCACTTCCTGCTTGTGGGGATTCAGTGTCTCATTTTGCCAGCCCTGGCCTCAGACTCCATCTTTGCAGAGATGGTTTGGAGCCAGCTGTATCCTACTTGGTAGCCAAGGGCCTTGGTTGGTTTGTACTTTGTTCTAATCAGGCACGTGCTGCAGTGCCACTGAAGCACATAGGATTTTATTACTTGTCTCTAGTGTTTTTAATTACTTTTTATTGAAGCATAATATTCCCTGGGCAATTTCCATTCAGTCATTTATTCATCTTGGTTAAGTGTTCTAGAGGATAAAGATGAACCACACAGTCTTAGTCTTCAAGGAGCTCAGTATGTAGGGGAGTCCTTTTCCTGTCCCATCCCAGATGTACTCTGGACTTCCTCCCTGTACCATGGGGTCCTCTGAGAAGCAAAGCCAGCAGTACCTGTCTCTGCTCTCACTAAGGGTGGACACCTATCCTCCTTCCCCATACATAGTTTCTCTTGGCACCTCTGCTAGGATCTTTCTCCATGCCCGTGCTTCATTCCCCTGTGCCAACCCCTCAATTGTATCAGCAGAATTCCTACAACCAGAGCATGCCAGGGTGGAAAGGGCTCATCTAGTGCCAGCATCCATACATTACAGATGGGAAAACTGAGGTGTAGAGCAGTCAGTGATGCACGGCAGTGCTGGATCTAGAGCTCAAAGTTCCTGAAACCTCCTTGTCCTGGACCTGAGTTCTTACTCAGTATCCCTGGCTTTGGAGTTTCAGCCTACTTCATCTCCCATTGTCCCTGAGGTGAGGAGATTGGACTAAGGTGAGCCCCAATCCCTGTTCTGGTAGTCCTGTGTCCTTTGTATTTAGAAGAAATTAAATCCTTCTTCATGCCTGCTTGCTGAGGCCAAGGCATGGACGTGGTGGATCCAAGCAGGCAGTCTGAAGTTACGCATTTTCATTTCTTCACTTAATGTAATAAACTTTGTGTCTATGCTCTCTGCAAAACTCTTGGGAAGAATGCAGCTAGCTGGGAACCTGGCCTAAGTAAACCTGTCAAGTAGCAGAGTTCCTCTCGAATCTCTGAGTTTCCTGAAGCCTACCCTTGCTTCTTTCCCCTGCCCCTGTTATGCCTGCTTCCTGCCTCAATTCTATCCACTGCTCAGGCCCCCTTGTTAGGCTCAGCCCCTCTATTCTCTCTGGGATTCACTGTTCCCTTCTCACATACCCATTGCTCAGCCTCCTCTTTGCTTTTAAAGATTTGTTGTAGGATTAGAGGTGTAGCTCAGCACCTGCAAGCCATGGGCTCTATTCTAGCACCACTGAAAAACTATTTTTTCATGGCATTTTTATAAGGATCATTTCATTTGATCCTTATAAGACCCTCTATTGGCAGAAAAGAGGCCACTGAGCATGCTGTTGGGCTTAGAATAGAGATTCTGCATTTGGTCCCCTATCTCTTGACCCTGAACTTTGTCCCTAGTGCTATGGTTTTCCACCTCCTCCTAGTTCCATTCTCCTCTTCTGCTGCTAACCATGCCATTGTACTACATGTTAGTATGTGATTATTTTTAGAAGTTTTCAGAGAGAGTAACATCCATAACTAACTAACTTACTTACTTCCTCCCTTCCTTCCTTCTCTTTTTCCCTCCTTCCCTCGGGCCCTCCCTCCCTCCCTCCCTCCCTCCCTCCCTCAGAATGGATCCCAGGACCTTCCGCATGCTAGGCAAGCACTCTGCTACCGAGCTACATCCCCAACTCTCCAGCCCTTTCGACTAAGGGTAGATATTCTTCCTTTCAGTTGTTTACTTCATACATATTTTCCCCCTACATAAAGTTGTTAAGTCAAAGAACTAAGCAGATTTAAGAGGTCATAAACTAAAATCACAAGAGCAGAGAGATGGGCAGGTAGAGAGAGGAGGAACAAGAGAGTTGGGGAAAGACCCAACCTGCCACACACCCAGGTTGTGGAGACACTGACAATGATGCTAAACTACAGGCACCCAAAGGGCTCAAGTATTTCCATTGTTGGTCCAATGCCTTATCTCATTCCTTCCCAAGAAGCACACACCAGGTCCTAACAGTGGTAGTTGTCATTCCCATTTTACATTTGGTAACAGAGACACGGAGTTTAGGGAGCTTGCATAAGATCACAGAGCTAGTATGCAGTAGAGTCAACCTTGAGTTAAAGTCTGCTGACTTCTGTTTCTATCCCAAGCTTCACACAATATATCAGGAGCTTGGAGACTCTTAAACCTCTTCATCCCTCCCCAAGGGAGGACGGTGTCACGTGCAAAGTCTTCTGCAAATGACTTCTCTTAATGATGTCTCAGGTGCTGGTGATAGCTGCAGAGAAATCATTATTTCTCTAACACTGTTTCTTTGATCCTTAAGAAGACTGTGTTTCAACTAATTTCGAAACATGAGAGAGAAAGCACAATGTTAAAGGAGAGGAGAATATGGTAATGCATCATGTTGGAAATGCTTGTTTTAATTCAGTGTTTCCTAAGCTGGCTTGAAAAGAAAATCAAATAATAAGTGCCAAAGTCAATTTCACAAAACACTTCGGATTGCACGCTTCCTTTACAGTTTGACGTTTTTACGTTTCACATTCCCAAGTTCATTTGGGAAGTGTTGAGCACAGTGGATAGTGTTTCTCCGCACATTGCCAGCAGTGTTTTTAAAAGTTTTTCAGCTGGCCAGGAAATATTTGCTGCTGAAACTTGGCATACTGTGCTCCCCCACAAACCATATATTTATTCCAAATTACCTCCTAAATTGCTTGGATGTTGAATTTTAGAGAAAAGCGAGCCACACAAAATATTTTATGAATAACTGTTGGTATGGCCACGTCTTACTTACAGTCTTTCCAGGTGAAGGTGGTTTGGGCTTCTCAGGGAAGGTGGGACTGCAGCTGGCGCAGTGCAGGAGAGTTTCTTCTCAGAGCTGGAAGCTCATCTTGTCATAAATCACCCTGTTCTTGCTGAAGGGCTTCTAACTTCTGTGGGTGCCCAGCAGCTAACTCCCCAGGAAAGGCAAAACGTATGACCTTAGAACCTGTTTGTTTCCATGTACCCTTAGAGTAAGGTGACAACATGAAAGTGCTATTCTGTCATCGTTTGATTGAAATTCTTGGTCTAATCAAGTAATCTGGACACCGTAGGACTAGGAAGAACCTTTCGGAAGGGTCTAGCAAACAAGGGGCAGTGTGTCTCAGCCGTGAGCCGAGAAACCATGCTGTTTCCTTGGTCCCATGTAAGGCCACTGAGACAGATGCTCTGGAGCTGGGGCCTGGAAATCTGCCTTTACATAAGTTTTCAGGGAATTTCGTACTGAGCATGACAGTCAGTCCTCTAGAGACCCAGGTGCCCCAGTTTTGTTTATGGGTTACCTTTCAAACTCTTCAGCTTCCGCCCAGCATCTCCTAGTACTGTGCTCTCACCCTCAATGTTGAAAGCCCTTTATTCTTTTTCATCCCTTCATAGAAGTGTCATTACTTAGGGCCCACCATTGTCCCTCCAGGAAGTTCCATGGGGGTTGGGACCTGGTGCCTTCATCTGGTATTCCTAGACCTGGAATGTGGTGAAATTCACTCATTATTTGCTGAATGCAGGGAAAACCAGGCTTATGACTGAGGGAGCTCCTTAGCTGCTCTGTGTAGCAGTAGAACCTTGGGTCTCCTGCCTGCTCTAGAGCAGACTCCATGTTGTGCTGCTGGTCACAAAGACCAGTTTAATTGCACAAGCTTTTGTCAGTGTTTGCTTTTTTTTTTTTTAACTTCTGTGCATTGTATTTGTATAATAAACCATAATGCTACCAGTAGAGCCCCCTTACCTGCAGGGGCTGAGCCTTTCATGGCTGCCGAGAATGGCACATTGTACTGAACTCTCTGTATTCTGCAATGGAACCACAATCCATCTGATAACTAGAACAGCTGCAAAGTTACTACCAGTGGGGCAGATATACAGTGTGGATATGCCAGGCAGAGGGATGACTCACTTCACCTGATGGATGGAGCTCAGTGTCATGACATGTCCTCATGCTCCTCAGAACAGGTCACAATTTAAAACTTATGAATTGTTCATTTCCATAATTTTCCATTTAGTATTTTGGGACTGTGGTTGACTTTGGGTAACTAAAACTGCAGAAAGGAAAACCATGGGTAAGCGGGGACTACTGAACTCTTCAGATAGTATTTATTGTACCTGCTAGAAACCCCAAGAATAGTTTTAAAAGGAGAATGTATGCCCTGGTGAAGATATAGAGTGCTTTTCATGCTGCCAGACCTGTTCCTTACAATCCCAGAATTCCAGTATTCTGGAGTTTTGCCATTTCCACCTAGGCCCCAGTCTTGACATCTTCACCAAATTTCTTTTCCTGCATGGAAAAAGAGCAGAGAGTAAGGAAACTCTTTTCCGGGCTCCTGGGCAGCCAAGACCCCATGCTGAGAGCTCTTATGTCACCTTGCCACATTTGGTATACAAGGGAAACAAGCCACAGAGCAGATGAGAGCAGAGTTAGGGTTTGAATCCTGGCTTTAGAACTTCACAGGTGACATGGTGACAGCATCCGCCAAGGCCACCACAGAACATGCCAATCTCCCTGCAGGTTCAGCCCTTCGCTCTCCCTCTGTGGTTTGCATTTTGGTACCACTTCCTGGGGATATTCTCAACTCCCTGTCTTAGTTTGTTCTGTCCTCCAGTAACACAGTGCTGCAGACACTAGGTGATTTTTAATGACAAGAAATTTATTGGCACAGGCTTCTGAGGGCTGGGAAGTCCGAGATCAAGCATCTGGTGAGCGCCCTCTTGCTGCGTCATCCTGTGAGCGAAGGGGGTGGAGGAGAACCACAAAAGAATGAGCTTGCAGCCTCAAGTCTTTTAGTAATGACTTTAGTCCATCCACGAAGGTGGAGCCCTCATGACTTACCCACCTCCTGCTGGTCCTCACCCCATCACTGTAGCACTGTTTCCAACACACGCTTCCTGGAGGACACAGTCAAACGGTAGCACCCTAAAGGAAGTCCCTTTGGAGGGACTCTGTCCTCAAGAGCATCCTGTTGACATCGTTAAAACTGCAATATGCTATCAGCCTTTCTCCATTGGAAGGACAGGGCCTCATCTTTGCTTCATTTGTGCCATTGCTTCCAAACACTAGAAAGGAAATGAAAGAGGAAAGCTCTCAGTGATCTGGATCAGATGATTGACTCTCCCTAGTAGGCTTCTGCGTGGTGCTGCAGGGTCACAACAGGCCACATGCTCCCGCATTGGGTCACTCCTCCCAGGTATCTGTCTCTGAGGGTCTCCCAGAACTGAGCGGGATCATCACATTCAGAGTAAGGGCAAGACCAGAACCAGAACCAGGAGAGTGTTCCCAGCTCCAGCTCTGGCCCCAGAGTATCCCATGGCCATGCAAGGCGTCAGTTGCATGGCCTGGGAGGTTACCAGTTGGGAGTTTGCTACTCACAGGAGATGGTTTCTAGTCCATCCACTCCTGCCCCATCCATGTGTCTCTTCTGACCTAAGACCGTGCCCCACCTGCCCCTTCCTCATTTATTGCCACTCTTTGTCTCTTCCTTTATCTCTCCCTGGATTTGTAGTCCTAGGATTGTAACCAGCGTTCACAGTACAGAGACTCCTGTGTGCACTGAGCAGAGGCATAAAAACACAAACCCATGTGCACACACACACAGGTCTGTTTTAATTAAGTGCTGAAGCTTTTCTGAACACTCCTTTTAGAAAATACAGTTCTTTCTCTCCCAGCCCAACACAGAGCCAGTCTCAGATAATTTCCAAGTTCGTGTCTTTTTTTTCAGACACCCTTTCTTTCCTTTCCTTCTTTCTTTGATATTTCTTTCAAGGATGCAGTTACCTTGAGCCTAATTTATTATCTGATGTCCTTTTTCAATATTCACCTTAACTGAAGAGCAGACATTTACATGACTATTAGAGTCACAGTGGTGACTCTAAACCTTTTGCTCTGAAAATAAGAGAGCAACTCTAGCCATCTTTTCCCCAGAAAAACACACTGCACAACCCAGCTCCCATCTTGAAGGGGTCGCAGCTGCTCTGAGCTATTGACAAGAATCTCCCAAGTTACTGTCCTCATCAGTGGAGGCCAAACCCTGCTCTGAGGAGATAGAAAAAGGAGAGGTAAGGGGCTGTGCATCACTCCTGCCCTTTTTTCATTAAGAGAGACTATTTTTAGACATTAGTACAGTGATTTGAGTTCTTTAGTGTTTTGAGTGCTGCCTACCCCAAAAGAGAAAGCCAGCCAACACCAACTGCACCAACTCAGAGCAATGAGAACAGAAGTAATAAGCGGTGCCTTTGCCTGGTCAGTCCTGCAGACTCAAATGAACGCCTCTCTCCACACCCAGCACATCTGAACCTGAGTCCATCTGCTCTTAGCAGGTTTCAAAACTGCAGCAATATTGTAAGGAAAAGTTCTGGGTCAGCAGTCACTTCTCATTGACAAAGAACTTCAGTTGAAGAGTCATTAAGTGGGGAAGTTTCCATTGTTGATTTTTTTATCCAAGAAAAGGGGTTTTCCTGACAAGTCAGTAGAACAGTCACAAGACTGTCCCTGCGTTTTATCAGTTGCATTTGTTTCCACAAATCTTAGATGAGAAATATTTGAACGTTCCCTTGGCATAGTTGAAAGAAAAGACATTTCCTCGTTGTCCAAGGCATGTGCATGGAGTTGTACCAATGCAAAGACCTGTGGCGAGAGCTTTCTGAGCTCGGCAAGGAGCCTGCTTCCCACTGTAGTTATGTTTAGGAAATCATCTTGTTGCCAGGTGTTAATCCCTGGAGAGCCTTGTGGGGCAAGAAGAGCTTTTTATGAATTAGGGAAGTTACATCAGATTGCTTGGGACTGTTTTTTGTTAGATTGAATAAATTTCAACAAGATGTTGGTGTCAGTCTGTACTCTTTACTAACCTTCTCTCCTCCTCATTGTTCTTTTTCTCTTTTGAGTGACAACTTGACCCCTAGATTTTTGTGCCTTTAGTTAGAGTCATCCCACTGTTTCCAAACCAGCCGGGGACATCCCTAATTCCACTTCCACGTTCAGAAAATAACTCTGTGGTTAACGGGGGGGGAATGTTTGCTATGGAATTAGGTGTGCTGGGGATTTAAAGCCTGTAAGCATATGGTCTGCATTTAAGACCAAGTTTAGAAAATACCCTCACTGTCTGCTTCTAATAACGTTCAGTCATTTGTTTTGGTAAGTAATTAAAGTGCCATTTCTCCCTCTGCCCCAGTCTTCAGGTGACAGTCTAAAGAGTGGGCTAGCAAGTTGCTGTTAGAGTGAATTTGTTCCCTAACCCATCCTGTGAATATCAATGCTAACAACAGTGTCTTGTGTTTTTTTTCTTTTTTTTTCCCCTTTTTTTTTCTTTAAATCAATGTGCTTTTTTCCTATGTGAATAATTATATGTCTAGAAACAGCCATGGAGTGATTTTGCTGTTCTGAATGGGGGGAAGATTAATAGTGACATTTGGAAGGCAAGTATATTGTCAGATTTTTAGATCATTAAATATTTTTCCTTTCTGCATGGCTGTGGCTGTATATTTTTCTTCTTTGTGAATATCATGCATCCTGCAGGGATGAAGCAAGGGGGCTTCTTGCTAGGGTCACACAGCTCACGCTCCCTGTTGCCTTTTTTGATGTCTGCCATTGTGAATGACCTCAGGCTGGTTGTCCCAGGTCCCTGTTGCCTCTTAAGAGCAGGCACTTGTACACCAGAGTCAGCACCCAGCAGCCACTGCATGCCAACCTCCGCCTAAGCTCATACACACTGTCTGCCACTTGCGGGGGCGGGGGGGGGGCTTTTCTCACTTCAATACGGGAGGCGATGGAATGAACCCCTCCCCCATGGTACACTGACGGAGATCTGTCTTCCTCTAGGACTTGCATGCAGCCACCGTTAACCCAGACCCCAGTTTAAAGGAATTTGAAGGAGCAACCCTACGCTATGCATCTTTGAAACTCAGGTAAGTTGTTGGAAAGTTGTGTTGAAATGTGTGGCTTTTGGGAGGGGGTGGGGGCAGGGTGGAGAAATGACCCAAGCCTTGTATGCACATATGAATAATTAAAAAAAAAAAAAGAAATGTGTGGCTTTTGCAGCTAGCATTTGCAATAGAAGTCTAAGGCCAGTTGTCTGGTTTTCCTTCTAGAAATACCCCTCGTGCTGATGATGACGACTCTTGTAGCATCAACAGTGACCCAGAAGCCAAGGTTTGTAAGAAACGCTTTCAGCGACCAGGTTGCATTCCTGCATCAAAGTAATAACTTTGGATAATAGCCCATTTTTTTTTACAAACTATCTTTCCCGTAATTATCTCTGATACTCTCCCTTTCTTAACCTCTCAGGCACTTTAAGAAAATCCTAGGGCAAGTTAGGTGTGGGGGTATTTCTATAACCAGCAAAACTGCCTGGGACTCACTCCATCAGTTCTTTGCACAGTGTACTAAGTGCAAATTGCTGATTCTGTGGGCCCAGCTTCAGAGCTTTTAAAGATAGCAGAGCTGTGGGTGAGGACATTAACAGGCAGGGTATGAGGCCTTCCACTCCTCCTTTGCTAGAGCAGCCTGTCACCTCTGCAGGGTGGAATGGGTTCGCCATCCGCATCACAAACACAGGTGGAAGGTACTGATTTATGATGAAATGTGAAGGCAAACTTGTCCCCACTTTCCTTTGGGACTTTTTGCAGGATACCAATGGGACCATGGTGGGCATGTGACCCACTGCACAGGGTCACATGCTGAGAAGTGCCCCTTGCAGGGTTTAAAACTATACAGTTGCATCTTGAAACTTTTAACAACTTGATTTGAATGCCTGTTTAAAAGCAAAGCTGCAGATGGTGGCATATACCCAATGGGTTTGGAGCCTTGACTTATGCATGGCTCCCACAACCTTACTGCGTTGCCTGGGCAGTTTTCAGCTGCTCACTCCCTTGGCATCCCAGGCCCTGCTAAGCTGCCCATCTCTGTTCCCGCTCAGTGACTCCTGCTGCCCTCTACCTCTACTAGGAGCTTGGCCACGAACATAGGGCAGGTTGAGACAAGCATACACATCCGTGCATGGTAGTGGCCATCCCAGCCTTGACTGGCAGTGCTGCAGTGTGTCCAGCAGGTAACTCTGGGGTGAGCCTCTTGCTTGCCAGCAATCCAGGTACAATCATGGTGTGATGTTGCAGGATGCTGGCAGCTGCCTGCCTGTCTATCATAGGTTAGGGTGATGGGCCTTTGGGTAAGGGGATTCCTGGCTCAGTTTCCCTACTCCCAGGCAGCACACACGGTGCAACTGTCCAACAACTCGTGACAAGAGAGCCAGAGCCAGTGGTCTGTGTGTGCAACAAGACCTGGGCAGGGTCCTGGATGCCCATGGGGGTTTGGCACTCACTCTGCAAGGATCCCAAGCCTGAGGGAGTGGGACATTAAATCACCAGCAAAAATACCAGGCAAGTCCAAAGGGATCCTGTGTAAGGAGAGAGAAAAAGCTAAATGTCTTAGAACTTTTTATATATTTTTCCTGCTTTTTGAGTCCTGCATTTCCATTTTGCATGTTTTCATTTATATATACATAGTTGTCCTCAGTTCTCACCACCATGAAAAGCCACCGTGTGCTTCTCTTCAGCACTTTCCTCTCCCCTTCCTGGCACCTCCTGTGCTATGGAAAGGAAAGAATCCTAGATTCCTTTTCATTGTTATGAATCCCAAAATAACTGTCTACAAATAAAAAAGAAAATAGGTTTCCTTAGTAGTAGGTAAGTAGAGAGCACCATCAGGTTCAGAACCTCAGCTCCATTTCCAGAAACTACTGTCTAGCCCTCTGGCTCTACGAGGATCCCAGGGCTGCTGCTCCCTGTGGGCCCACCTCATTCTAAGTACACCAGGTAGGATGGATGACTGCTGCTCTAGAGCCAGTGGCATTCGAACGAGTCCTTGAGCTGCTGCTGACATGCTGGCCTTTAAAGATAATATTTATGGCAAAGGAAAGATGCAGTAAAGCAGGAAGGCAGACTGTGAATAATTTGCTTTGCTACCAGGTATTTTACAAGGGCTATCAGCAGAGGCTGGAGGAGGAGGACTGGGGCAGTGCTCTCTGAGGCCACAGTGGGGGGCTGACAAGAGCTGGGCCCCACAAGGGATTGGAGGACTGGTTCAGTTGTACTCAGTGGGTGAAGCGGGTTTTCTCTTCATTCCCTACTATTTATACTGCTTGCTGGAGTCTTCCTATGTCAGTGTGTCCCACACCTGTTAGGAACTTGTTCATGTTTATAAGAAGGCTCAGCTTTGTTATAAGTTATGAAGCTGTGCTTAGTTTTAAGCAAAAAAAATGTGCATTGTATTTTTTATATCCTACTTTCTTCCATAAAGATTTGAGAAGACTTGTAAGAACAAATGCTTTTTAAGAAATCACAGAAGATATAGGGAATAATCAGTACATCAGTTTTGGCTGAAACAGAGAAAAGAAAGGAAATACAGAGAAAAAGGGGAAATGCACAGCTTTTCAGGTGATAGGATTTACAGAGTGCCTAAAATCGACCTCCAGGTGGTGTGGGAGTGAGGGAGGTTCCTGCTGATTGCAGATGGTCCCTGACTTACGGTAGTTCAACTTAGAGGTTTTCAGCTTTATGGTGGTGTGAAAGTGGTATGTGCTTAATACTTCAGATTTTAAATTTTCATCACTTCATGGGTTAGTGAGATTCAGTGTGGTGCTGTCTCACCATGCTGGGCAGATGCAGCAGAGAACTGCAGCTCTTGATCAGCAGGAGATCACGAGGGTAACACCCAGAACTCTACAGTGGACTGGCGGCTAAGGCTAGGATGCTTAGGAGATTAGAGGCATTGTGTATTTCGGCTTACCATGGGGTTATCAGGATGTAACCGCACTGTAAGTCAAGGAACATCTGTGTTTACTTCCATCAAAGATTCTTGGGGTGAAGGGCACATCCTTAGAAGGGCACATCAGACTCTTGAAAGAACTTTTACAAGCTTACACATGTTTCAAACTACTCCCATTCTGGCCTGCACCCAGAAAGTCCCCAAAAGCGTGTCAAGAGCTGAAAGGGCTGCAGAGCCTGCTTTATATGAATCAGGCCGTGTGTTAGGCAGAGCCTTCCAGTTCCTTGTGGAATGTAAGGTTTTTCTCCTTCTTCATTATCAAATAATTGTAAAAATGAATATTTATGGAGTGCTAACTTTTTGATAGGGATGTCCTAAAGACTTCCATTCTGTTGACTTTCCTGATGTAAAATTCAGTGGGCTAAGTATCATTGTCTCCATATTGCCGAAGGGAAACTGAGGCCTAGGAAGTTAAATAGCTAGAAAGTTCCCCTTCACTCCTTGCCTTACACCCTAGATCCTGCATCTCAGATGGAGAACTGGCAAGGCCTAGATTTTCTGAATGCTCAAGCTCCTGTTTTTCTTTTTTTGGCTTGGTTTTTGAGACAGGAGTCTTGCTCTATAGCCCAGGCTGGCCTAGAACTCAGGATTTTCCTATCTCAGCTTCCTGAGTACTTGGATTACAGGCATTCACCATCATGTCCAACTGTCAGTTTTTATTTTAATAACCCTATACATTCTTTCAGTCTGTCAAGGACCAGAGAAATGAGTGCCCCCTCCATAAACAGAAAATATCCTTCTTTAAAAATTATATTTAATTCCATGTATATGGAATTCTAAATATAATCTATGAGGGATGATTACCAAAAAAGGTTATTACAGAAAATTTCTTCTTACTCCCAAGATAAAACTTAATTATCAGGATAATTAGTTGCTTAGTGAAACCTCTAAATAGAAATTACAACATGAAACACACACACACACACACACACACACACACACACACACACACGCCATTCCACCAAAGGGCAGAGTATTTTTATAACTCTGAAAATGCTCTTGAGCCTAATTTTTGTACAGTAAGTGTATTCTATAGTTGAGGCACTGTGTGTGTCTGTGTGTTTAATTCTAAACTCTTTTACTTTCTGCTTTGCAGTAATTATGCAGTCAGAGAAGAGTTGCAAAGACTGAGTTCCCACCCACACTTCACCTTGCTAGCTCTAGTACTAACATCTTCACAATCATGGGATAATTAAACAATGTATTTTTTTACCTGTGTTCTTTTTCTGTTCTAAGACCGTAGCTGTTACTATATAGTGGGCTCTTAAAAATTATCTTACATCTTCCTGTCTGTGATTCCAGATTGTTTGTTATTTTAATTTTGATGAAAGACCCCTTGTGGTTAATAGCACCATGATCTTTCTAGACACCAGGGGCCCCGGGAGCAGTTTCTAGTACAGACAAGCAGAGCTGCAACTTTATAAAAATTGGTGACTCTTTCTCTTTTAAATTACTGCTTTGGTAGAAGTTGCTAAAACTGATATTACTAGGTCAAAGGCCGTCAGTTTTACAGCTTCTGTCACTTATTATAAAATTGCTTTCCAGAAAACCTGCAGCAGCACACAGCAATCCCATCAGTAATATCCTAGAGCACACCTCTTGCCTGATGGCAGTCTACCCTAGGCTTTGTCTCAGTTTCATCACATATGACTACTTCCCGCTCCTGTTAAAATTTCCTCTTTTTTTCTCTTTCTTTTCTTCTTCTTTTTTTTAATGATGAGATTGAACCCAGGGCCTGTACATACTAAGCACACTCTAAAACTGAGATAAACCCAGTCCTAAAATTCCCTCAGTTTTTTGGTGGTACTGGGGTTTGAAGGACCCCCAGTAGGCGGGTGTTCTACCACTTGAGCCATCTCTCCAGCCCCTTTTGCTTTAGTTGTTTTTCAAATAGGGCTTCACTTTCATGCCTGGACTGGCCTGGACCACAATTCTTTCATGCTTTGCCATGGCTGGCATGATAAGTGCCTCTAGCCTCCTGGTCTCTGCCTCTTGAGTAGCTGGGCCACTGAGCCCAGCTCCTTCCTTTTCTTAAATTATCATCAAACATTTCTTACGAAAATGTGTATTTTAGTCCATTCTTGGCTTTTTTTTTTTTTTTACTTCTTGATTTTCTGTATGTTCTTAAAATAAATTTTTAGTTTGGAATAATTGTAGATTTATAGAAAAGTAGCAACGATAATACAGAGTTCCTGTATCCTCTTCACCTACATTCCCCTGATTTTTTATTATAAAATTACCACTTATAATCATATACATTTATAGTGTACAAAGTGATCCTCTGTTAGGTCTTTTTTTTTTAATAAAATTTTTTTCTTAGGATATAT